ACACGCCGTGGCGACCAGCTACCGTGTTACCCTTCGTCGAAGGCCTTCGACGAAGGGGTGCGCCTTTCCGGTCGGTCGGTTCAGAAGGGGAAACGGTCCCGATCGACCGGGGATAACCTCTCTCGCCGCCGGGCCCTGCCTCGAAAACGTCCGAGCGGCCCCGGCGGCAGGCGGCCGCGGCACCTTCCGGGCTATGCCCTTTGGGTAACCCCTCCGGGCTATGCCCCTTGGGTAACCGCGACGCGCCTTCTCCACCATCCTCGGCCCGGATTCGGAAACGTCCGAGCGGCCCGAGAATGGCAAGTCGCAGGGACGCTGGGACGAGAGCACGCTCTCCGACCAGCACCCTGCGACTTCCCTCTCGTCGTCGAGCCCCGCCTCGGAATATGTCCGAGCGGCTTCGACGGCCGACCCCCTCTGGGCAACGCCCCTCGGGAAACCCTCCGGGCAGAGCTCCTCGGGTAATTGCGCGCGGCACCCTCCAATGCGGTCCCCGCCGCCGACGCCCACCCCTCACCCCCCAAAGGGAACCCCGAAGCGAGCCCCCCCCAGGACGGAGGGGGGAGAAAACCCCGGACGGCAAAAGCCGTCTACCCGACAGGCGTGTCAGGCCACAGAGCATGATGGGAAGGGAAGCGCCGAGGCGCCGTGCAGTCCCTTCTCCTAACGGTGCCATGCCACCGGGCGTTTGAATTCCGGGTCGCCATCCCTTACCACATACGAGCCGAAGCTCTAACGGGGAAGTGGGCCCCGTCTCCCTGGGAGGTGGAAATCTTCCACCCCCCGAAGGAGAGCCCCCAGAGACGGAGAGCGTGCCCCCCTGACCGGGGGCAGTGTACCTCGAAAGGTACGGGTCGCTGTTGGCACCCCTTGCAAGACTATCCTCTTGCAAAGGGTGAGCCCCTTCGCCACGGCAAGGCCGCGACCCACGAAGGGAAAGGTAAACCCCCGTGGGTGCGGCCGAATCCTAACTCCCAAGGGAGCAGAGGGAGCCGCAACCGGGGGGACCGAGAGGGGGCCACGTGTTTCTGGCGGGTGGGCATCGCCCGTCCGCCCGGAGCGCCTAGGCCCCCCTCGATGACGGAGACGTGACGTGTGGGGCCCTCTCACCGGGAGCCATAAGGCACCGGTGGGAGAGCAACACCGTCCACGGAGGGGATTTCTCTCTAAAGGAGAGTGGAGTCGCAGCTCAAGCACTCGTGCTTCCGGTTCCGTCAGTGGAGCGCTCGATTCCTCGTCCCGTGTCACCACCATTGCACACTGTCTCACTGCCCTCGATAATCCGCGCAATCACGTCGGGGTCACCACTTTAACTGCCGTGGAGTAATTTTTAATCGGTACGATGCGCGTCAGGAATTAAAAATAACGAGAGGCATTAATTACGTGTAACTGAGAGTATCTTCACTAAGAAAGCAAAGTCTTTAAAAGTCGGTACATGAATATCAGATCGCTCGGATTCACAATGTACGTCCGTACGCGGTGACAGTCAATAACCGAATCCCTCGCACGCAAAATCGCTCCTCATATCTTTCACCTCAAAAATCGACTTTCGAGAGGCTTTGAGAGGCTTCGAGAATTTTATATTTGTTTATTTCCTTTGTCTCTTAACGTCTTGATATTTGTCTCTGTGCTTCTCGTCTTTCGTCTCTCTCTGTCTCGTCTGTTAGGTTTTTATCTATATTTATTTTTGTCTCAATACTTTTCGCATGTGTGTGGCCGTATTTGTATAAGTGTTTTCGCTTGCTAATTTTCGGGATGTATGTGACGATGTAATCAGTATAATGAATTAATGAGCAAATGAATAAATGAATGAATAATGAATGAATGAATGATAAATAATATATGTGATTGAAATGATTAAATAACTATGATATAATGAGTAAGCGAGATAAACATGAACTGTTTAAGAAGTGGTTCTATTGACAACCAGCTCATCCAGACGAGGAAGGAGAGGTCAGGGACAATAATTCCCTTCTTCTCTCCTTCTGTTCCTTCATTCTCACTACAGAGATCGCGAACTCTGCGAAAAAATTCTAATAATCTTTTTTGTCCATATTTTACTGATTACTGCACTTAGAGAGAGTCTATCTCTAACGTTAAAGCCTAGTTCTTGGATCAACCTATTCCTCGTGTTGTCCCAAGCGGAACATTTTATGAAAGTGTGTTCTAACGTATCGTCTCGGTCGTCGCAATGAAAGCACGCGGCAGTGAGACGTCTTCCCCTTTTCCATAAGTAATGTCCGAAGCTTCCGTGTTCGAAAAGCATTTGTGACATGAAATAATTTATTTGGCCATGTTTTCTTGCGAGCCATCTTCCAAAGAATAACTTAATAGCCTCTACGGTCCTAAGACCCCAAGCATTCGGTCTATTGAAGAAGACCTCCCACTGTTTTGCGAGGAGTGCACCTTCCTTGTCTCGAACCTCTTTTGCTGCTATCAAATCCCATTCGTCTCTCTCTCTAAGTTCCCTAAACCTATCATAAATCCTTCTTCTCAATCTAGCCTCCAAATGCTACGGAGCCATTCTGGCCAGAAGAGTAGTGGCATCGTACGATACTATTCTATATGCCGCAATAATTCTGATAGCTACTACTTTTTGCAGCCTACAGATCTTATATTTTTATTAGAATCTAACAACGTTTTGGATCACACCGGCGCCGCGTACATCATCACCGAAGTCATGATGTTCGCGTAAAGCCTCCTCTTACGCTCATTCGGATCTTGCAGATTCGCCATTAATTTACACAACGACCGTGAAATCTTGCCAATCTTTTCCTCCAAATACTTTAGATGATCTCCGAACCTCCAATGCCCGTCGATCATGACGCCCAGGTATTTCATCGAATCTCCTACTGAGACATCTACTTTACCGACTCTAACAATAGGCATGTGTTTTGGTTTCCTCCTACAGAATAACACTGCTTCTGTTTTCTCTTCCGCTATTTTAAGTCCCAATTTATTTATTTTACTACAAACCCGTTCCACCTGAGTGTTAGCATTCACTATTGCTTTAGGAAGCCAACTAAAGGTGACCACTACTAGCGTATCATCCGCATAGTAGATGATCCTGCACCCTTCTTCGCATCTCAATCTAAGTATAGAGTCAAAAGCGATGTTCCACAGGATTGGTCCTAGAACCCGATCCCCGCGGAACACCAGCTCTCACAGACCTATTGTTCGTGATACCATTGACGTCTCTGTACGTAATGAATCTATGGAACAAATAGTTAGAGATTATGCGACACAGGTAGACTGGGATACCCTTATCCTTCATAGCCAAAAAAATGATAGACCATGGTATGGAATTAAAGGCGTTCGCGATGTTCAGTCCCACCGCAATCGAGAATCTTTTTCCCGTCAAAGAAACATTCACGTACCTTTCGAGGCAGGCCAATGCATCCACGGTTGAACGATTTCTTCTAAATCCAAATTGATTTTCCGAAAGAGACGAGTCCGGATTCTTCTCTATCTATACATTGATGCGCGACGCAATTATTCTTTCCAGAGTTTTTCCTATTTCATCAAATAAACAGATTGGACGCGCTTTTATACTGTCCACATCTTTCACTGGTCCCTTAGGAATAAGTACCAGTACCGCTCTCTTCCAAGCGAGTGAATATATACCGCTTCTTAAACAAGACGTGAACAAATTGACCAGATAATCCATAGCTATTCCTGGGATCTTTTTCCAGACAATGGATTTAATATTGTTTGGACTAGGAACAACATTTTTTGCTGTCTTTTTAACGACGTGTTTTTTTATCTCGTCAAGGCCGACATCCCACTCGTCGTTCCATTCATTGTTTGCAAAAAAAGGCATGTTTCCCCTAACATTGTCGGGAAACAATGAGTTCAGCAGTTTATTCAAAGCCTCACTTTCTATTGTCTCCGAAAGAATAGGACTAAACCTATGTAGTTTTCCCATAACAATTTTATATGGGAGTCCCCATAGATCCTCGTTGATGGTAAAAATCAATTCCGACCATGATCCATTTTTCGCTCTTTTAATGGCTAATCTCAAAGCTTTCTTGGCATCTCTGTAGCTATCCCTAAGATTATCGACATCTATCGAGTCAGCTTTTTTCTTTCCTCTAGTGAAACGCCTTGTCGCTATAGTGACTCTTCTGAGGTCAGCGATCTCTTTGAACCACCAGTATACCTGCCTACTCCGATTGAACGCCGAGACACTTGGGATGAATGTTTTGCATGCATCCACTACCGCGTCAACTACCCATTTAGAATAACTTTCTGAAAAGTTAACCAACTCCTCCGTCATTCTGGTACATATCATCAAAAATTCAAACGCGCTAGTAAAAAGATTGTCATTCAGCTTTTTATAGTTGAATCTTTTCCTTTTAAAGATATTATTATCACCCCCAGAGTTGAAGAATTGCAATTTATAACCGATGTATCGGTGATCCGATAGAATCTTAGACTATCTACAACCGTCCAACCACTAATATGTGTTACTATATCAAATGAGGACCAAGTGATATCTATTATGGAGTTACCCTATGGTCTAATACATGTAGGCACAGAGACCTAACGCCGCTGCCCACTTTTCAACCAGTTCTCCCTTTCTGTCCGAAGAGCGAGAGCCCCAGAGGCACGACTTTGCATTAAAATCCCCTCCGATGATAACTGAACTACTTGATGAAGTAATACAGTCCGCGAGATTAGATAGGAAACGTTCGTACATTTTAATATCTATATTATGTGAGATATAGCATAAAATTATTATCACTCTTCCAAACCTAACATCTACAAAATTCCTTTTTCTGGCAAATAGTCTACAGCTCATGCCTCTAGAGCTCTTCACCCTCCAAAGAACAGCTGAGAATTTATCTACACTGAGAAAACAGAGGCTATTTTCCTTAATTCTTTGGAGGCTTCAGAAACCAACCCAAGACCCATGTTATTCTCAACTAAATATTGTCTGTATAGACCTAAGGCAATCCAGCTACGATTCGAGTTAAATTGCGATACGTTTAACCGCATACTCATGTTTGCTTGTTACTCAACTGCTGAACCTTACGTAGGTTCACTGTACTACCATGGAAGCCCTGATTTTCTAAACATACCGGGGACCCTAACCTATGGCTGTGTTCCTTTTTCATTTCCATACACACAGCACATTTAGGCAGTACAACTATGCGCAGGATGTCCTGCCGAGCCACATCTAAAACAACGACCAGTACGATCGATCTCTGATCTACAATTGGTCCGAACATGCCCGAATCTCCAGCATCTATAACACTGTACTGGGCGTTTCTTCAATAGATCAATCCTGACAACTGTCCATCCTATCTTAATCCTATCTAGTTCTGCAGCTTTGATCGCGAATTCTAACGGGCATTCGACCCACGCCGCTCTCATACCGTCACGCATAGTACTTGTATTGTTTATCTTAATTTCATCGTGTCGACAGCCACTGATTTCCTCGACTTTACTTTTAACTTGATCCTCCGTAGTATCTAAGTCGATACCTCTTAACCTTAACACTCCAGTCGCTACCGGGTTGCTCACCTTCGCATCATCCTTTAGAACTTCCTGTAAATTAGAGCGAAGATTGCTCGCCAACTGTCTTCCTTTGGGTTCAGGGATTTCCAGCACAATGGCTCCATTGACCGCTCTTCTCATTCGCATACGCTCAATGCCTAGATCCTCGGGAACAATAATCTCCTTCGCCTTTCCAAGTATTTCGGCGTATGTTAAATTACTTTCTGGCTTATTCGCAATGACGACCACCGCAGGCTTCGCCAATCTAACACCAGGTTTTCTGCTGAGTTTTCTTATATTTTCCTGTTGCCTGTTGTTGTGCATTTTATATTGACTATTTGTATACACCTTAGCGCCCGTATCTGACGTGTTGGGGGTTGAGACTCCATATTTATCATTTCCGTAAGATACTCTTTTCTTTTACACTCTTTTCCCAGCCACTGTTTTTCATTCATTATAAGGCGGCACTATCTGTCTATTTTCGGTAATCTTAGGTCTATTATCTTGTTTTTTATTTATGTTGTTCATTTCCTTCATTGTCCTCCGTTTATATTCCTTCTCTTTCTTATTATTACTATTTGTTACAGGTCCTTTATCTGATGCGGACCAATTCATGGTGTCTTGACCTTGAGGCCATTCATCACATCTTTCCATGTACGCAACGTCAGTTGAGTAGCCAGGTGTACTATTTTGAAACTCTTTATTAAGGTAAGTATTATTCTCCAGTGATTGTTCCTTCTTCTTTTCCTAAAGTATACCGATTTCTCTTGACTGTTGGTTTATTATCCTTAATTTCCTTTTCGGCTGACATTCTACGAGAAGGATCGTATCTGTCTTTGAATGCATTTATCTCCTTTTCCAGTTTAGCCATGTATTTCCTTAATTGATCAATTTCTTTGGACTGACGTTTCTTCTCAATTCCTTGATCTCTATATTAAGCCTGTAATTCTCCTTCTTTAAGTAGAAAACATCTCCAGTCACTTCCGATTTTTGGATCAGTGCTTTCGTTATATTTGCAGATATCTCGAAGCAGCTCTTCATCCTACCGTTTACTCTTCCAGAAATATTGGAAAATAATCTCCTTTGGCGGTCTATTTCTTGTAGATACTCTAGATTTCTAATTCCCAAATCCTTAGCATCTAGGTCCATCCATTTTTCAACATCGTAATTAACTTCTATCTCCCATTCTTTGTTGGAGATAACTTCTTTGAATTTGGATTTCTTAGCCATTACTTTCTTATTCTTCAATTTACTTGTGCTGTAGATTTTTTTGCTCTTAGTATCTTCATTTCTGCTACTGGATAATTCTTCAATAGGAGTCATTTGTCTCAACACTGCGTCTATTCTTTGATTTCCTCTCTCTGGACTCGCTGGATTTCGGCGTTTTGCTCAGTGATTTGAAGCTTTCTCCTTCAAAACTAAGCAATCTTGTTTCTCCAAGCGTTCCTCTAATTATCTATTTGATTCTCTTCTTATTTTTCCGCAACTTGATAGTGTTATTTTTATTCTCACTTGAATCATTATTATCAATAATATCAGATTTATTGCTGATGTTGTTTTTGTTCATACTCTTATTAAGCTTCCTACTTCTTTCATCTTTCAGTTTACTAAATTTACCGGAGATATCCTCTTTGTTCTTTAAAGAACTTCTGGTCACTCTTTTTACTGGTGACGAGGAAGGCAGCTTCCCCCTAGCGTAGCCTTCCTCAACATCAGAGAAGAGCTCAGAAACGAGACCTAATTCCTCTTCTCTTTCCCCTTCTTCGGACATCTGTTTTCCTACAGACGTCAGGTCAGAATCCACCAACCTAAACTTCGAAGGCTTGCTTACCGGCTTACTAATCATCTCCTCTGGTAAAGGAGTCTTTCTTTTTGACGTTTTGGGATCAGCAGTAGCCAATTCTGTTGATGCGCTAGCTGACGCCACACCAACAGAGCCCTTGTTTGATGACGACATGGCGGCGTCGGGCTCGCCCCCATGCCGACCACTGAAGGGTCCGAGGTCCTTCTACGGTGCTAATCTTGTATCCTTGTCCAATGTACTAGCCATATTTGTGTATAACTTTAGTTTTTTTAAGGGTGACCTTCCCTTGTATTCATGGTCTTTTAACTCGCCAGTTCGCATAATGTTTTCTCCATCCGGCTTAATAGATTGGTCATACTGCTGTTGTACTACTAATAGTTCTGATAGTTCACGCGTAACAACCTCACATTCTCTATCTAGTTCTTCTATAATTGATCTCTTCTCGTGTATAGAATTATTAATGCCTAATAGGAAATTACGCGAGCGGTCTAGCTCAATTATTGCAGCAACATCAGATAGCTTAACCTCAAAAGATTCAAAAGTCTCCGTATTCATGTGCATTGTCAGAACATCTGGTATATTAATTAGAGGAGGTATATTAATTCCACTCAGTTCTATAGAAGTTGATTCCGATGACAAAGTTTCTCTAATAACTCTATTGTTGATGCTAATGTTTTTAATTTGCTTCATATCTCGCAATTTTTCCAAGTAAAAATGCTCTAGCATAGTACATTTTACAACCTTCGTTATAGATAATTTTAAGGCAGGCCTCTCCCTCACAGCACCGAACATTGCAGTAAAATTATAGGGAGGTTACAACCTTACATATTTAATAATCAATGTTACTGGTATATACCACTAACCTTACAATATAATCTTACGTTATAATATTATCGGAAGATTAATGGAACTTTATTTCAATATTTCAGTAATCTTACACGCAATTATGAAAATGAGATAATTGCGTGAAGATTACTGAAATATTGAAACAAGATTTCATTAATCTTTTGACAATATTATAATGTAAGATTATATTGTAAGGTTGTTGGTATATACTACTAACCTTACAATATAATCTGACATTATAATGTTGTCGGAAGATTAATGGAACTTTATTTCAATATTTCAGTAATCTTACACGCAATTATAAAAATGAGATGATTGCACGTAAGATTACTGTAATATTGAAACAAGATTTCATTAATCTTCTGACAATATTATAATATAAAATTATATTGTAAGGTTGTTGGTATATACTACTAACCTTACAATATAATCTGACATTATAATGTTGTCGGAAGATTAATGGAACTTTATTTCAATATTTCAGTAATCTTCACGCAGTTATCTCATTTTTCGGGAATACTAAAAATACGTAATATAAAACTATAAAATATCTTTTAAAATATTTATTAAATTTGATGTTTGCACATTTTCATATTTTCAAAATTATTTATTTATTAAAAATTTTAATTAAATTGAATTATAAAAATAATATATTATAAAATATTTTATTATAATATATTATAAAATAAGTTTAATTCTCTAGGGGTGTTAGGGGGGTTCTATGGATTAAAAATCTCAAGTAATTTAAGAGATTAATTCATATATTAAGTCTTGGTAGTAGACCAAGAAAAATATGTGCCTTGTGCACAATTATTTAATTTCAACGAAAAAATTAATTTCGATGAAATACACGCATTATAATATCCGCGTTCGGCTCTTAAGGCCATTTTCACTTGTATTTATTTATAAAATAAGTATTTCTTCGTATTTATGTTTGATAAATTTTCAACATTTTATAATTGTCATATTTATAATTATTTTATATTTATTTGAAAAAATATTTATTTTGTTTTAACTTTGTTATTCAAATTGCGCGCCAATTAATTTATTGAGCGCGCCAATTATAGCCATTCTGAACTACTTTCCTTTCTTTCTAATGTGACAATTTTGTTATAATCGGACAAAGCACGTTTTGAGGAAAAGAATACTTCGTATTTTGTACATTATTTTGAGTGTGTGCATCGGTTCAACTCATCTGTGCATCTCTTTAATCATCATACTATATAAAAACTGGGTAATAAATAAAAATTGTATAAATATTTAACTATATATAGATTTATGTATATTAAGAGGTTAAGTTAAGTTAGATTATCGTGCTTTCGGTATCTATAATAGCAGTATAATATTTATTATAATTATTTATTTATTATAAATAGTTTATTTTATTATAAATGTTTATAATGAATAGAATACATAAATATAAAATATATTCTAAGGGTCATCTTAGGCGTTTAGCTAAAATTGAGGCAGATTCGTATTCTTTTAGTAGAAGCAGTTCATTATTACAAGCACAAACTTTGCCTTGCAATAGTTCTATGAATACAGATATAGAATGTAATAAAGAAAATACTGCAAATATGAGAAATATAAATGATGAAGTTACTTTTATATCACTAAATGAAAACAATGTAAATGACAACATATCGCAATCAAATTTAATTGAACATTTACATGAGTCCTTAGAAGCAATAAGCACAGATAATAATTTTTATTCTGAAACTATGAGTGATGAGTCTTTAAATAAAAATAAAAATTTCAAACAATCTGTAGCTGCATGGGCAATAAAATATGGAATCACACACTCTGCGCTGACACCACTGTTAGAAATTTTAAATTCTTATACAAATACTAAATTTCCAAAGGACTCTAGAACTCTTTTACAAACTCCCAGAAATATTACCGAGGTTATTGAAATGGGCAATGGTCAATATTGTCACTTTGATATTAAAAGTATTGTGGAAAAAATGATAATGGATATAAGAAAAAGTGGTAAACAAATTTCTGTACTAGATTTATTAATAAATATTGATGGCATGACTATATCTCGGTCTTCAAACGGTTGTTTTTGGCCTATTCTTGTATCGGAAAATCTGTGTGGTAAAGTATATATTGCAGGACTGTATTATGGATATACAAAACCAAAAGATCCCAATGAATTTTTAAAAAGATTTGTATCAGATATAAAGCCATTAATAATAACAGGAATTAGTGTCAATGAAATAACAGTCATAGTAAATTTAAGTGCATTGATTTGCGATACACCAGCAAAATCATTTGTTCTTTCAGTAAAAAGTCATACAGGATTTTCTAGCTGTACAAAATGTATCATAAGAGGTGAATGGCATGGACGTGTATGTTTTTCAGGAATAAATAAAAATAGCTTACGTACTGATTCAGAACTGGCAGATAATAAATACATGGGAGAATATCAGCAAGGAGAATGTATATTAAAGGAAATAGACAATTTTGGATTAGTTTCTTGTGTGCCACTTGATTATATGCATTTAGTATGTTTAGGGGTGATGCGAAAATTAATAAGTTTATGGTTGAAACATGTATTTCCAAAAAGAATAGCTAATACCTTCTGTGAACGAGTTTCTCGATTACTCAAAAATATAAGATCAACAGTTCCATTAGAATTTAATAGAAGACCTAGATCTCTGAAAGATTATAAACAGTGGAAAGCTACAGAATTTAGAACTTTTCTTTTATATTTAGGGCCTATTGTTTTAAAAGATATATTAGACAGAGACATGTATAACCATTTTTTAACGCTTCATATTGCTATTTCAATATTATGTAATCAAACTTTTTGTGAGGAAAATTATTATTTAGATTATGTTCAAAATTTATTGAAACACTTTGTTGATTCTTTTGCAAAATTATATGATAAAGCACATGTATCTCATAATATACATAATTTACTACATCTTGTTGCAGATGTAAGAAAATTTGGAATATTAGATAACTTTAGTTGCTTTAGGTTTGAAAATTATATGTCAACAATTAAAAAACTATTGAGAAAAGGAGACAAACCATTACAACAAATTTCAAAAAGATTTGGTGAAATTGAAAATATAAATGAAACATTTAAAGAAAATACTCTGAATTATGAAATAAGAGGTTTTGAATTATATTTAGATAATAAACATTTTGATGGCCCTTTAGAAAACAATATTAAGAATATTAAAAATCAATATAAAATGTTGTGTAATTTATTA